GTGTACCACATGCTTGCAGTGTCCACAGAGGCCAGAAGAGGGCATCAGATTCCCTGGAACTGGAGTTACAGTTGTGAGCTTCTATGTGGGTGCTGGGAACTGAATCTCGGTCCTCTGCAAGAGCAGCCAGTGCTCTTAAGTGCTGAGCCATTTCTCCAGTCCCTTATTTTTTAATTATGTGTATGTATGTGTGTCTGTGTGGCTTTGCACACGTAAATGCAGTGCCACAGAGGCCAGAAGAGGGAGCCAGATCTCCTGGAGCTGGAATTACAGGTGGCTCTGAGCCATCCCACCAGACCTGGGTGCTGGGAACCAAACCCAGGTCCTCTGGAAGAGAAGCAAGCGCTCTTAACTGTGAGCCATCTCTCCAGGAGCCCATGTAATTTAAAATCTGACCTTTTATATTAGTGTTTTGAGTGGTTGGTTGATTGGTTGATTGGTTAGTTGGTTGGTTTTGGTTGCTGATGATCAAACCCAAAGCCTTATGCATGCAAAGCCTCCATCCTGCTGGAACCACATCCTTAGCCCCCTGAGATCATCTTACACCTGTTTTTCCATAACTTTTTTCACTTGCTGGTTGGACTGTTTCCGTAAATATGTACTGAATGTACTTTACTTAAAGTCAACAAAAACAATCACCAGGCTCTGGCATGGTCCCTTGTATAAGCCATCCTGAAAGTATCCACCAGTTTCCCATTGTGATGAACGTAGATTGTTTATATGTCTTTGTTACTATAAACAATACAACAGCAGACAGTCTGGCTTCATTTATATGTGTATTGTAAGTTTTGATGTCATTTAATAACAAAACTAAGATATTTCAGACAGTGGCAACAGCTTGTATATCAAGGCAAAAGGCAGGAGAGAAGATGGGATTTCCAGGAAATAAGTCATCTGGGTGGAATACCCAGTGGGCAGGTTGTGAGGTGGGAAGTGACTGCAGGTCAGGAAGGGGCAGCCCTCAGGCAGGAAGCTTATGTTCAGTGGGTGACTGTCAGCAGTCCTTGAAGCCTTCAGACAGAGAATGAAGGGAGTAGACCCATGCCGTGGTGGCAGCAGGCATTGTGGATATGAGGAAATGAGACTTGAATCAGGAAAGCACATCACGATGTTGCTGCTGGTATAATTAAGGTGACAAATGATGAAAACTTGATATCAGGAAGGAAAAAAGCCAAACTTGATCCATGAAAGGTGAATGTATTTGAGAACTAGTTAGGAAGAGTCAGCAGGATAAAGGATCAGGTTAAAGTGGATATGGATGGGGAAAACCCAGGTCCAGATGTGGACAGCTGAGGGATCAGAAGGTAGTAGAGCTGGTCCAGCCCTGGGACAAAGGGAGCTGACAGAGAGCAGGCACCATGGTCTTCACCTGTCATCTCACAGTCACACCCTCCCCAGCACTCTTCTGCTCCATTTCGCCCACCCTTGAGATCTCGGTGTCTGAAGACAAAGCTAAAGCCATTGCTATTCTGTTGTTTTTCCCCCTCACAAGAGTCACTCCGGCAGAAGAGGCAGCTTGCAGGCCTATATCTTGGAGGAACAGCCTGCACTTCCTGTGGTAAGTTTTATCCTCTCCCCTCTGTCATGAATGAGAATATAAAACTCAATCATTTTTAATTACTGAGTTTGGCACCACTGAGGGTGACTGACTGACAGGGAAGTGATACATCAGTAGGCTCTAAGGTGTAAAAGTCCAGGAGGGGACACAGGGCACAGCCTTGGAAGTCTAATCTGAGAACACCTCTCATGTAAACCCGTCCCTGTGCTGGTGACTGTGGTGGGATTTGGCTTCTCAGCTGGGACCTTGTGCTGGTGGGAGCTGGTCTGCTGCTGTATACATGCATGATGTGGGGTTCTGGCATCAGGCTGCCATGGCCCCACGTATGGTGCACAGCATCCAGCTATACACAGACATAGTATCCAACAGTCATGTCTTCCCTGTGTATGAATTATCTATCCAGGGGTGTTCCTCACTCAGTAGGTTATGTACCAGTGGCCAGGGTAGAATTTTCCATCCCTGGTGCCTCCTTTCCCATCAGGCTCAGTCCATTGGTCAGCAGAGGCTTCTGCCATCTCTGCAGTTCCATTCCCAGCCTCAGCTGCAGCTCCAGCCTGAACTGCTGATCCCTGAGGGTCTCCCAGTTCCATCCTCTTTATAACTCCTGTCTCACTATATGAAGTTGTCACTGCCCTGTAGCCACGTGTTTTGTTTTGTGATGGGGTCTCATTGTAGCCCAGGCTGACCTTGAATACCTGAACCTCCTGCCACCACCTCTTAAGTGCTAGGGTTACAGGCATGTGCCACCATGCCTGGTTTATGCCTTGCTGGGAATCAAACCCAGGGCTTTATGCATTCTAGGTAGTCACTCTACCAACTGAGCTACATCCCTCTCCCCCACTTTTTTTTTTAAATAAATTCCCAAGCACCCCTCCTCTTCAGCCTGCCCTTCTCCTGCCTGTCCCCTGCTGCCTTCTTCTAAATACCCAGCTGTTCTCAAATCCTAATTCTTTTCTCTTATATGCATACACATTCCATTTCTCCTCTTGGAATGACCTCCTCACTTCTCCCCGCCAACCAGTTGGACCTTTGAGTGGCCGTCTATATATTAGTTTTGAGAAACAAGGTTTATGTTTACGTGGAAATTCCAGCACAGGTATGCCATGGCTCCAGGATCCTTAACTCAGGAATGGCTAATCTGTCTAAAAAGATGGCCCTACACTGAAAGGGATACCATTCCATGCCGTGCCAAGGGTGGAGGAGCCAGCTACTTTTGAAGTCCACTGACCTGGTCAGCATAACAGCAAAAGGACAGGTGCCACCAAGGGACTTCCCCATGCCAGCCTGACTGTCTCTGGTGGTCACTGCTTGGCCTCCTCTATTACACCAGAGCCTGTGTAAGCACAGACCCATGGTATTTTCACTACCACCCTTGTAACGCCCTCCATACTGTGAAAACATTGAATCTCATTGACTGAAAGATATTCAGCCAAGAAATAATTTTAAGTACTCCAGATAAGAAAAAAAAATAACATCTAGAAGTCATTTATATTTTGAGGACTGCAGAGCTATTTCCCTTAATACATTGAGTTTTTGTTTTTGCTTCTTAAAAATTTATTTTTATTTTGTGTATGAATGTTCTGCCTACATGTCACGCAGTGCCTGCAAGAGGCCAGAAGAGGGTATTGGATCCCCTATAACTGGAGTTATAAATGGTTGTTAGTCACCATGTGGGTGCTGAGAACCAAACCTGAGTCCTCTGCAAGAGCAGCCAGAGTCCTTAACCACTGAGCCATCTCTCCACCCCTTTACTTTTACTTCTAACAGCTTTTGTGAGATGTAATTTATATACGATAAATCCATCCACCTCTATAAATATGTAATTAAATGAGTTTTGCAAATTCATACACGTATATAGACATGGTTTATAAGGCATTTGGTCACACTGTGAAGTTGCCTGGGTCTCTGAGCCCATGCAACTCCTCTCCTGCCTTTGCTGCCGTTTTTACCTTTTCTAGAAAGGGAATCATGCAGTCTGCATGTTTGACCTCATTCACTCAGCATGATATTGTCCTGTCTCTATAGTTGGTAGTATTCCATTGCCTACACACCCACCTCGTGTATCTCTTCACCAGCTAAGGTACATTTGTTAAGGTATAGCTTCCATAACTTTAGTCTAACAGTTCATCTTAACTGTCGGCAGAATGCTCACAGCTCCTTTGTGTCTAATAAGCACGTATCTGAAGGGCTCCTGATGGTATTCATGAGGTTCTTCAGGAACCAAGCCAAGCCTCAGGAAGAAGAGTCAGTCTAGTTCAGAGTTCTAGAAGGAAAGCTAGCTACAGGAACCCTGGAAGTAACCCCTGAACTTCCCAGATAACAAATGAAATGTTCATCTGTTACAAACTGTAAAGGCTTCTCCAAGCCTTTACAAGAACAAGACAGGCAACTTTTCACTTGGCATCTAAGTGTGGTTCTGAGCTTAGGATGCCCGGCTTCAAATCTTGACCCGGTTACTTACAAGCAGTGTTATCTTAGAAAGTTGCTTCTTTTCAATACAATCGGTAAAATGGGCCAGGATTAGCAGCAATCTCATTAAGGGATGTGTGTGTGTGTGTGTGTGTGTGTGTGTGTGTGTGTGTGTGTACCTTCAGTGTATGTTTCATTAGTATTTCTTTGAAGATTTATTTACTTTTATTTTATGTGTATGAGTTTGGCACATGCATGGTGCCTGCAGAGGCCAGAAGAGGGCAAAGGATCCCCTGCAGCTGGAGTTAAAGGCAGTTGTGAATTTCCATGTGAGTTCTGGGAACCAAACCTGGGTTGTCTGCAAGAGCAACCAGTGCTCTTGCTGCTAAGCATCTTCTCATCCCCTTTATTAGTGGGATTTTTTGTTATCATGCTCATTGGCTGTTTCCCTTCTTCCCAAGTGAAATGTTATATAGTTTATATATTTTTAAATATTTAAAATAAGGGACTGGAGAGATGTCTCAGAGTTAAGACCACTGGCTGCTCTTGCAGAGGACCTGGGTTCGATTCCCAACATCCACATGGTAGCTCACAACCATCCTTCACTCCAGTTCCAGGGATCCAGTGCGCTCTTCTGACCTCCACAGGCATTGCACAACACGGGCACACCTACCTACATGTAGGCAATAAACTAATACACATAAAATAAAGATAATAAAAAATTTTAAAGTTAAAGTATGTCATTTTCTGTTGTATTAAGTGGTTTTAGTTAAAAATAAGATATAGCTCATTTCGCAGAGCTGGCAGTGAAGAACTGATGTGACCCTTCTTAAAGACTTCTTTCCTGTTAATATGTAGTTATTTGTACACGTTAGCTTTTGCCTACTTCATCTGGATTGCCACCAGGTTGGGAAGAAAAACACGATGAGAGAGGAAGGTCGTACTATGTAGATCACAATTCCAGAACCACCACGTGGACAAAGCCGACTGCCCAGGTACTCTGCCCTCTGTTAGCTTGCCTTCTTCCAGCCTTCCTGGGTAATCTCCAACTGCACACACCTGGCGTCTTCTCTTTATTCATTTTCCTGATTGATGCTGAACCCACCACCTCCTGTGGCCCTCCAATGTATGTAATTACCACTTATCATTACATAAAGAAAATCCAAACGGGACTAAGAGGGCAAAGTAATGATCTAGTCCATTGTATGACTGGGTTTTCAGTAATTAAGGGTTTGTGGGGGTTGGCATCTGCGTCTGTGTGTATGGGCGCGTGCGCAGGCACACATGTATATATGTGTGTGCATGCATGTAAAATCCCAAAGTTGACATTGAGAGTCTTCTTCAATCTCTCTCCACTTTATTGAGGCCGCGTCTCTCTGTGAACCCAGAACTTGCCAGTTCTGGGTTATCTAGGCATTCAGCTTGCCCTGGGATTTGGTCTCCACTTCTCAAACACTGGGAGTACTGGCAGATCACCACAGCCACCTAGCTTTCATGTGGGAGCTGTGGATCTGAACTCTAGTGTGCATGCTTACGTGGCAAGTACTTTGTCCACTAAGCCATCTCCCCAGCCCCTGATTAAGACATTTTGCTAAAAGATAATCTTTGTGATTAGTGTCTGTTAAAGAAATTTATGACTGTGGCATTTCTTCCTTGACTTCGGTCTTCTGCAGTACTTCTTGGTATGGGTTTGGTTAAATGCTTATTTTACCTTACACCATTTCTCATACTGAGAGTTTTATTTACGCTTATGTATTTATTTCCTTGTGGAGGGTCACTGCCACAGTGTGCGTGTGGAGGTCAGAGGACAACTTGCAAGAGTAGTTCCTTTGCTTCCATCACATGGGTTCTATGGATTGATCTCAGATCTTAGGCCTTGGCAGCAAGCACCCTTATCCACTGAGACCTCTCACTGGCCCTAAAGCAACTTCTGTGTATGGGGTACTCCCTGTTCAGCGTCTTAGCAGCTCTCTGCCCTAAGCACTGCAGCTCACCTTGCAAGTGGTACTGCCCAGGCCAGTGGCTATGGCTCCTCAGGCAGCGATGCCCGTGGCAGACTAATAGCAATCATCTTAACTGTGTGAGAACTGGCTGAGCACTCAGTTATAAAAACAAAGTTTGCTAGAACACTTGATTGGAAAATTCTAAGAAAAAAGAGTAAAATGTTGTGATTTATGTCTATGTCCCCAACCCTTAGGAGGCTGAGGCAGAAGAATTGCTACAAGTCTGAGGCCCACCTGGGCTGTAGAGTGAGACCCTGTATTGAGAAAAATGTTGAAGAAAGTTTACTACATTTAAAAATGAGCCTCAGAGCCAGGCGTGGTGGCACACGCCTTTAATCCCAGCACTCGGGAGGCAGAAGCAGTGGATCTCTGTGAGTTCGAGGCTAGCCTGGTCTACATAGCGAGTTCCAGGCCAGCTGGGGCTACAGGGAGACCCTGTCTCAGAAAGACCAAAAAAAAAAAAAGAGCCTCAGCTGTTGGACTGACTGAGTGGTGTGCATTCTCTTTGTAGGCTATGTTAGCTATTTTAACTAGAGCTGTTTGTGAGTTTTCCATACAATTTACAGTATGACTTACTTAATATGCCAGGCTACAATGAAGACCAGTCAGCTGCCCTCAAACCAGAGTTCCTCAGGCACTCAGCTGCAGCTCCCCACCGGTGACCCTGCACAGCAGGTGACTCCACCATCTGAAATTGAACAAGGATTCCTTCCTAAAGGCTGGGAAGTCCGGCATGCACCAAATGGGAGGCCTTTCTTTATTGACCACAACACCAAGACCACCACCTGGGTAACTTCCATACTCCACCCTTTAAATTGAAATATTTTATTTATTATTTCTATTTTTTATGTGTATGAGTATATTGCTTGCATGTATGTAAGTGCACCTGTGTTGTGCAACTCAGAGGTCAGAAGAGGACATCAGATCCCCCTGGAACTGGAGTGATGGTTGTTAGCTGCCATGTGGTTTCTGGCAACTGAATCTGGGTCCACTGCAAGATCAGTGAGTGCTCTCAACTGCTGAGCCATCTCTCCAGCCCCAAGATTTATTTATTTTTATGTATGTGTTTTGCCTGTATGTATGTGTATGTACCACATGCATACAATGACCACAGAGGCCAAAAGAGTGAGTTGGATCCCCTGGAACTGGAGTTACAAGTGGTTATTAGTCACCATGTGGGTGCTGGGAACCGAACCTAGCTCCTCTGTAAGAGCAGCCAGGACTCTTAACCACTGAGCTGTCTCTCTAGCCCTAGTATTTTTAGTTTGTCTTAAAGTTGTTTAATGTCTAGTTCATCACCAACAGAAAAATTACCAGTCTACCTGAGTAGATGTAAAAGGCCAAGATAGCTTAAATAAAACTTAAAAGTTTAATAAATTATCTAATACAGTACTATTAAAGTAATTATATATTAATTAATCCCAATAAATTGAACTTTTTTTTTTGTCTTTTTGAGACAGGGTCTCCCTGTAGCCCCAGCTGTCCTGGAACTCCCTATGTAGACCAGGCTGGCCTTGAACTCACAAAGATCTGCCTTCCTCTACCTCCCAAGAGCTGGGATTAAAGGCATGCACCACCACACCCAGCCTGAACTTTGTTTTTTTAACAATCTGAATTGACCTTACTAACTTTTTGTTAGGATGACCATCCTGTCTTTCAAAAATAATAATAAATCAATACCCAACAGATACTACAACACATAGTCCTGTTTATTTTTTTATTATATTTATGTATTTACTTATTGTGTGTGTGAGAGAGAGAGAGCGAGAAAGAGAGAGAGAGAGAATACATGCATGCCATGGCAGGCCTGTGGAGATCAGTAGACAGTTTGCAGGAGTCAGTTCTCTCCTTCCACCATTGAATCCAGGTTGTCAGACTTGGTGGCAAGTGGTCCCCTTCTTTCACCAGTTTTTGTTTGTTTTTGGTTTTTTTATTTATTATTTTTACTTTATGTGTATGAGTGTATTGCCTGCATGTATGTGAGTGCACCCATGTCATGCAATGCCGCGGAGGTCAGACGAGGGCTTTGGATTCCCCTGGTTGGAGTTAAGGACAGTTCATAGCCGCCATGTAGGTCCTGGGAATCGAACCCGGGTCCTCTGCAAGAACAGTCAGTGCTCTTAACTGCTGAGCCATCTCTCCAGCCCCTTTCACCAGTTTTTATGCAGAGAAAAGCTAGCTCTGGAGCGAAATGCTCTCAGTGGCTTATGTGAAAGAGACAGTCAGTGCTAATGCCACTAGAACTGACCCTTCTAGCTCGGTCATAAGGCAACCTCACAGCAGTATCTTCTAGAAGGAGAAACATGTCACACATGAAGGAAGTTAAGTGTCAGTGGGGTGTGGTGGAATATGTCTGCAGTCCTCCCACTTGTGAAGATCAGGAGTTCAAGGCCGACCTAGTCCACATGAGATCCTGTGTCCAAAAGCCAAAAAATTAAAATGGATACATAGCAGAGAGTATTTTATGTATTTTATTATTTTCTTTTTCCATTTTCATGGATGAATGTGGCATGTGTGTATGCATGTTTTACATGTGTGTGGGTGTATGTGTATGAGTGTATAAATCTGGAGTCCCAAGGTTGATGTCAAGAGTCATCCTCCATAGCTATTCCACCTTATTCATTGAGGCAGGGACTCTCAGTCAAACCCAGAGCACACAATATAGCTAGTCTCCCTAGCCAGCTACCTCTGGGGATCCTCTGCCTCCACCTTCCAAGGCTGGAATTACAGTGGGCTGCCATGTGCACCCTGCATTTACATGGGTTCTGGTAATCCAAACTCTAGTCTACTCCCACTCAACAAGTGCTTTAACCACTAAGCCCTGTCCCCATCCCCAAAAGAGTATTTTAAATATCCATCCACATTAAAAAACAATTGTAACATAATGGTTATCATTATTTTAAAATACATATGTTGTTTTATTTATTGACTCAACCAAAAAAAGGAAGATCCAAGACTGAAAATCCCAGCTCATCTGAGAGGAAAGCTGTGGCTCGACTCATCCGGTGATCTGGGGCCTCTGCCTGTGAGTCTGGGCTAGCTTGACTAACTCAAACATTTTGTGCTTTGGACTATAATAATTCTTTAACTCCTATAACAAATAGTTATTAAACTACTTGTGCCTTCTACTAAAAATGCTATGTGTAAATTATATTAGCCTTGCAACCAATGCTATTTTTTTAAGATTTAATTTCTATTTTATGTGTATGAGTGTTTTGCCTGCATGTATGTAAGTGCAACACATATGTAGAAACTCACAAAGGTCAGAAGAGGACACCAGATTCCATGGATCTGGAATTATAGACATAGAAGGTTGTTAGACACCATGTAGAGATGCTGGGAACCGAACCCAGGCTCTCTGCAAGAGCAGTCAGTGCTCTTAACCACTGAGCCATCTCTTCAGACACTGGAATGTAGGGTTTTTATTTATATTTTATGTGTATGACTATACTGCCTGCATGTATGTAAGTGCATTCATGCATACAATGTCCATGGAGGCCAGAAGAGGGCATTGGATCCCCCTGGAACTCAAGTTACAAGAGGTTGTGAGCTGCCATGTGGGTGCTGGGAACAGAACCCAGTCTTCTGCAAGAAGAGCAAATGCTCTTAGCTGTTGAGCCATCTCTCCAGCCCCTAGTGCTGTTTTTTTACCCATGAATCTAGAACCCTTTCTTAAAATAATTGCAGTAAAATTTTAATTACAGCCAGGATGGGAAGAAAGAACTCACACAGATGGAAGAATCTTCTACATAAATCACAGTATGTGCAATGTGACTTTTCCATTACATAAGTGTTTTGTGATGCTGGATTTTAGACATGGGGAAGAACATCTTTTTTCTTTCTCTCTCAGATATAAAGAGAACACAATGGGAAGATCCTCGGTTGCAGAATGTGGCAGTAACTGGACCAGTAAGTCTCCCTGAAGGGCATCATGCTGCTCTGATGGGACTGTCCTGCTGTACACCTTTCCAGGGGCATAGGGTCGAGTGAAACTCCACAGGAATCGAGGAGGTTGGGCCTTTACCATGTGCCCCTCTCCTCTGTGCCTACCCCACATCTCAGTTCTTTGAAAAGATAGTATGAAATCCTTGCCCTGAACGATGGCCTTGGGAGGCAAGAGATCCTGACAGACACGGTTGGGCCGATAGACTGCTCAGCCCAGGCTGACACCTGCCTTTGTCTAAACTCAAAATGTTGACAGTCCTTGCCTGTGTTGACACAGACATCTAGCCTGTGTCAGGATGAGCAAGCAACAGCACGCTGTTATCTCCAGGGTCACACTTTGAACTAAATTTAGTGAAAATTTATTGCGAATGCCCATTATTTAAGACATACCCATATTTAGTGTAAATATTACCATTGGCCAGGCATTGTGGCACAAGCCTTTAATCTCAACACTTGAGAGGCAGAGACAGGTGGATCTCTGTGAGTTCTATTTAGGCCAGCCTCACCTACATAGAGAGTTCCAGGCCAGATGGGATTACACAGTGAGGCCTTGTCCCAAAAACAAACAAAAAAATGATCTTTGTATGGCGAATATCCCACTTCGAGTCAGGTTGACTATGGGAAAACCACTCATGCAGCTACTTTTCCACTTTTTTCTTCTTTGTTTGCTAATTCACAAAATTAATAAAATTGAGCATAAGGATTTTTTGAGATTATTGCTTAGTGTCAGTGTGTACTCTTAAAATAACAAGAAAGGCAACTCCTGGAATTTCAAAGGGAAAGCACATTTTTCAAATTGTTCCTTTAATGGAGAAATTGCTTTCAGTGTCTTTTTAGAAATGGAAAATTTTGTTTCTGAATTTTCTCTACTTGCAAAAAAGTTCCTGTCTTTGGCATGTTGCATTTCAAGTATATTGCATGATGAAAATTGCAGCCATAGGAATTGCTGAATGCAAGTTTATCTTAAACAGAGGAAGATTTTTTTAAAGTTTTCTATTCACTTTCCTTCACATGTGAAACTTTAATTTCCAAATAATTCTCTTTTAATGCCTTTAATGTATGTTCATAAAATACCCAGAGGAGAACTTCTAAAGCTGTCCTGGGATGAAAACCTAAACTTCTTTGTTTCTCCAAACTTTTCAACTAAAGGCAGTGCCCTACTCCAGGGACTACAAAAGGAAGTACGAGTTCTTCCGAAGAAAGCTGAAGAAGCAGGTCAGTCAGAGCTTGGGATGACCCTCATAAACTGAAGCCAGAGGGAAACTCACTTCTAGAAGCAATATTGTGGACATAGACAAACGCATTGTGCTGTATTCGGAACAACTTTGAGTAAATACCTTCTCATAGAGAAAATATTTGTTGTTGTTGTTGTGACAGGGTCTCCCTGTAGCCCCAGCTGGCCTGCAACTCACTACATATACCAGGCTGTCCTTGAACTCACGGAGATCCATCTGCCTCTGCCTCCAGAGTGCTAGTATCAAAGGCATGCACTACCACATCCAGCCTGTTTTCTATTTGTGTGTGTGTGTGTGTGTGTGTGTGTGTGTGTGTGCCTACATGAGTTCATGTGCAGCACATGCATGCAATGCCTACAGAGGCCAGAAGAGTGCATCAGACCCCCTAGAATTGGCGTTACAGCCAGTTGTGAGCTACCATGTGGGTGCTGGGAACCAAACTCTGGTCCTCTGAAAGAGCAACAAGTGCTCTTAACTGCTGAGCTATCTCTCCAGCCCCATATGCTTATTTTTCAAGAGTCTTTGCAATGTAGAAAAATGTCATAAAAGATTCACTTAAGTCTGCTGCTTCCTCATGGGATTTGTGGAGCTTGGTTTGTAGGCTAGGTAGTGTAGCTCAGGGGATAGTATTCTTGTGTTGTCTTTGATTGTGTTGGAGAACTCCCTGGATTCCTTTACAGCTTCGACTTGTTATTTCTCAGTGATAGTCATCTTGTTCTTCACAGCTTCAAGTAGAACACATTTCTGCATAATTTAAAAACAACTGTGAATGGAATTGCAAATGCGTTGCCCTAACCTCCACGTGCTTGACAGGCATGCTCATTACACATCACCAAAAATTCAGTATGTTTACAATTAAACTCATCATCTGCCCCTCTATTTCATTTTTGTTGGTGTTGACCAACCTTTTTAAATGCCTTTCCTCCTTTTCCTGCAGTTTAGGAACACTACCACTAAGTGGCGATGTCGGGTCACACTTTCTTGGGTTCCAAGCTGGAAGACTTTTCCAGTGATTCAAAATGGTGGGTTGGCTACCAGACTTTTCGTCCAAAATTTTAACAAAAATGAAATGCGACATTTTTTTAGTGTAAACATTGTATGTCCTAATAAAATTCTTGAATATCAAAGGCCTTTTTCTCCTTAAAGAATAACATTGTATCTCAATTACTCAGAAAATTGTTTTCTATTTCTGAGCCTCAGGGTTTTAAATCATTTGTGGGAGGTTTGATAGATGGATTAGTTGGTAAAGTATTTGCTGGACAAGCATGAGGACCAAAGTTCAAATCCCCAGTTCCCATGTCAGAAGCCGGGCATGATCCCCAGCACCAGTGAAGATGACCCAGGCAGTTCCATGAGCTCACTAGCCAGTCAGGATAGCCAAAGTGTGAGCTCCAGGTATAGTGAGAGACCCTGTCTCGGAATATAAAGAAGAAGCCGAGCTTGGGGGCACATGTTTGATCTCAGCACTTGGGAGACAGAGGCAGGCAGATCTCTGTGAGATTGAGGCTAGCCTGGTCTATATAGTGAGTTCCAGGCCAGCTGGGGCTACAAGGAGATACTGGATCAAAAAAGCCAAAAAATCAGGGCTGGAGAGATGGCTCAGCAGTTAAGAGCACTGACTGCTCTTGCAGAGGACCTGGGTTCGATTCCCAGCACCCACATGACAGCTATGAAACGTCCTTAACTCCAGTTCCAGGGGAATCCAACGCCCTCTTCTGACACCCTCGGCATTGCACGACACCGGTGCACTCACATACATGCAGGCAATACACTCATACACATAAAATAAAAGTAATAAAATATTTTTTAAAAAACCAAAAAATTAAAAAAAAATACAGTAGTGAGCAATTGAGGAAGATGACGAATGTTGACCTCTGTCCTGTACACACACCTGTGTATATATGTGCACACACACAAACACCAAAAATTTTAAAATATAAATAAGTAAATAAATAATTCGGTGTTTTGAGACAGGCTGGCCTAGGATTCACAGTGTAGCTCAGGTGGCCTCAAACTCGCCACAGTCCCCTTGTATATTTCCACAGCGAACTGTTTTTGAGGTGTTGCTTGTTCCTGTAAGTTTGGAATTAGCAGCAGTTAGACTTGTGCCTTACTGCACACCATACTGTAAATGCCTTCAGAAAGCAGCCACATCTTATGCCCTGTTTTTACATTCCTTTTTCCTCTCTCTGATCTATCCATTATGGGGTTTGGCCCAGGGAGTGAATAGCTTGCCTGCACCAGTTGCCTAGTAACTAGCTTTAAAAAATTGCTTTGCTCCAATCACTCATTACTTATTTGCACAAGCATCCAGGGAAACCTTTGCCATGCTCATGGGAGCTGTTTGCATTCATGTTTCTATAGGGCTTTTCATTCTCCCTAAGTATGCTAACAGACTTTGTTCCTAAGACCTAACCTTCTTGCTTTTTTCTAGAAGACTGATAGCTCATCTTCGCCTAATGGTTTCCACTTGACAGTGGTTCACAAAGCACTCAGGAATAAAATATTCAGATATATTTTTATAATATTTACATCACATCTACCAAGGCATAATTATCTGCATTTCTCTCCAAAGCACAGAATGTGCAAAAGATGAATGAAGCAAGTGTCATTCATTAAAAGCAGAGTCTCAGAACTAAGTCTTCCTAAAAGATATTATTTATTATTTTTTGTTCTATGTGTATGAGTGTTTTGCTTGCATGTAGGTAGGTGCACCCATGTTGCTCAAGGCCTACAGAGGTCAGAAGCAGGCTACGGATCCCCTGGAGCTGGAGTTACAGACGGTTGTTAGCCACCATGTGAGTGCTGGGAATCGAACCTTGGTCCTCTGCAAGATCAGCCAGTGCTCTTAACTGCTGAGCCATCCCTCCAGCCCCCCTAAGTCTTTCTTTTTTAAAAATTTTTATATGTATGAGTGTTTTTCCTGCATGTATGTAAGTGCACTATCTGTGTACAGTGCCCAAATAGACCAGAAGAGGGAGTCCTATCCCCTGGAAATGGAGTTATAGATGGTAGTGAGCTGCCATGTGGGTGCTGGGAACCAAACTCAGGTCTTCCGTAAGAGTAGCAAGTATTTGTAACTACTGAGCAATCTCTCCAGCCTTGAGAACTAACTTTAACTTCTGTTTTCTATAGTTTCTTTAATTTTGTTTTTTAATTCTGTATATGTGTGTGAGTCTGTGTGTGGTATGTGCATATGAGTGCAGGTGCACACAGAGGCCAGAAGAGGGTGTCAGATCCTCTGGAGCTGGAGTTACAGGATGTTGTGAGCTGTCCAGTGTGGGCACTGGGAACTGAACTCAGGTCTCCTCTGCAAGAGCAGTATGTGTTCTTAACCACTGAACCATCTATCTGCACCTTCTCTAGTTTATCTTAAAATGAGAAGTAGTTTCTTGTAGTGTTATGAAGTGCTAATGAGTGAACCCATTAGCATGCAGTTCTGGCACAGTCTTTAAACACTAGCATCTTCTAGAGTGAGGCAGGGCAGACTTGAAGGAGTAACGGACGCCTAGAATGGAAGTAAATTTGAAAAGCACTGTTGATGAGCTGCCTTCTGGGCTTCATCTTCTCCACCCACAACCTGTACGTAGCAGAATCAGAAGACTGTTTCATTAAGAGAGTCGGGAAAAAATGCCTGAATTCTGCATACTGTTGAATAGTAAGATGACATGTCTAAGCTAGATGTGGTGGTGCCCGTCTGTAATTCCAGTACTGGGGAGACTGAGGCCAGAAGATCTTGAGTTCCAGGCCAGTCAGCTGCATAGCAGGTTCATGGCCAGCTTGGGTTACCAAGAGAGACACCCTGTTACAAGAAATGGGAGGTGGAGGGGATGCCGACAATAGTGTGCTCAATTGTGTTTTCCTTGTTGACTTGACTTGAAGAAAATGAGTCCTGGGCTCAGAGTTAGATAATGTTGTGAGTCCTGTAAGAGGCAGACTTGTCCTAACACTTAGCTGATGTAAACCTAGTCTCTCTCCTCTGGCTCTGCAGAGTGACATTCCAAACAAATTTGAAATGAAACTTCGCCGCGTGACTGTTCTCGAGGATTCTTACCGGAGAATTATGGGTGTTAAGAGGGCCGACTTCCTCAAGGCTCGGCTATGGATTGAGTTCGATGGCGAAAAGGGACTGGATTATGGAGGAGTCGCCAGAGAGTGGTTCTTCCTGATCTCAAAGGAAATGTTCAATCCTTATTATGGGCTGTTTGAATATTCTGCTACGTAAGTACATTCATCTGTTATTTAGAGACAGTGTCTCACTATGCTGCCCGGTCTGGCCTGGAATTCATAGACACAAGCAGCCTTAGCCTCCCAAGCACCTGGGACTAAGGCCACTACAACTGACATAAATATCTTTAAATGAGTAGTGCAGAAGGCGACAAAAACCACCATCTCAGAAATTATCGTAACAAAGTTGCCTTACCTGACTGATGTTTCAGAGAGATAACTATTTCAGAAATGGAAGTAAAATTGTGGTGCTAAAATTGTGGTAAAATATGCATAGCATAAAGATTTTAACTTTTCTTTATGCGCTTCCTAGCAGGTGCCCTGGCAGGGAGCTACAACCCCAGCCCCCTTTTCAGCATCCCCTGCCCTTGGCTGGCAGTTCAAGTACATTTCACAGCTGTGCATCATCGATCTTCCCCAAATAAAACGACTCCCATGAAACCCTTGAGCCACCATCTCCTGGCACCCACTGCTCTCCTTGGCTTCTGTGTGTGTCTGACTCCAGGTGCATCAGATATATGGACCCATATAACATGTGGCCTCTGTACATGGTTTATTTCACTCAGCATGTGCTGAATGACCTTTCCTAGGGAAATGTGAACAAGTGTCTGTTCACACCCAATAGGGCACTGAGAACAGACGAAAGTAAGGATTCCAACAAAACCCAGCTTGGCAAACCAGAGTTTATTGGGACTAGCTCCAGGAGCATGGGTGAGGGGTACTTACAGGAGTGTGGATGACTCACAGACAGCAGGGTAGCAGAAAAGCCCACCCCAGCATAGGTAGCCACCTGGGGCTCACTGTGTGACTTCCAGGCAAGTCAGCTGGCCATCTCTTCTCCAGAGCAATTTCAGATACTTACATAACCTTGGGCAGGGGCCTTGTAAATCTTGCAAGTTTTTCTTTGCTTCCTGATCTTATGAGCCTCTCTGGTCTCCCTCAGGAAGGGAATGTTTCAATTTGGAGGAAATTGCTACAGGACAACAGGTCCTCAAAGTTTGTCCTCCTTTACACCAAGTATCTGGATTTTCTTTTTGTTTGGATGTACCATTGTATTTATCTAGTCTCCTGTCTTTGGGGGTACTTCCACCTTTTGACAGAAATTACTATTTTTTAAAAAGATTTATTTATTTTTGTTTTATGTGTTTACTGTTTGCCTACATGTACATAAATGCACTATGTGCATGCAGTGCCCACAGAGGCCAGAAGAGGGCATCAGATCACCTGGAACTGGAGTTACAGAAGGGTATGAGCTGCCATGTGGGTGCTGAGAATCGAACCCGAGTCCTCTGCGAGAGCAGCCAATACTCTTAACCACTGAGCCCTCTCTCCAACCCCAGAAATTGCTATTTTTTTTAAATATTTTATTTATTATTTTTATTTTATGTGTATGAGTGTGGGAATCGAACCTGGGTCCTCTGCAAGAGCAGTCAATGCTCTTAACCACTGAACCATCTCTCCAGCCCCCGGAAATTGCTATTTTTAAGACCATTGAATCCAATGTGGTTGTAGTAGAGGAAAATAACAGAAGAGGGGAAACTTTTGGAATCATTCGCTAGGTTAAATTTTTTCCTATGAGATATCAAGAGGGATACCTAAGTGTGGTTTTCTTTACAGGGATAATTATACCCTGCAGATAAACCCCAACTCTGGCTTATGTAATGAAGATCACCTCTCTTACTTCAAGTTCATTGGCCGTGTAGCTGGGATGGCAGTTTACCATGGCAAACTGTTGGATGGTTAGTATCAAGCATGAAACTTTAAAAAATATATATATAATCACTTTTTACACTTGGTAATCGTCTTAAACATATGTCATTTCTTGCAAGGCTTTTTCATCCGCCCCTTTTACAAGATGATGCTGCACAAAATGATCACACTTCATGACATGGAGTCCGTGGTAGGTCTCTTACATTATGGGAGAAGAGAGATTTAACAGGCAGCTTGGCATTTAGGAGAATTAGGGTTTGGTGGTGGTTGTTATTTTTATGGTGTTGAGGATTAAATCCAAAACCTTGCTAAATAGGTGCTTTTCTTCTAGGCCATATACCCAACCCAGAGAATTAGTTTTTAATGATCCGTAAATTAATAAAATGTAAGTGGTTGGGGACTGAGGAGATGGCTCATTGTGTAAGAGCATTTGCTGGGCAAACATGAGGACCCAAGTTCAGATCCTCTGCACCCTCTAAAAACCCAATCATGGCCGACTTGAATGCCAATGAACCCAGCACTGGAGGGGTGGGGGAGGGGGGAGGGGCAAAGACAGGATCACCAGGGCTTGCTGGCCTGTTCCTGTGCCCACCACATACACTGGCTCTCTTCCTGTGCCTGTGTTCATCAATTTGTCTTAGTTTTTTCATGCGTTGCAAAGAAAATTGCAAATGCTAGCTATACTTTCCGTTCACATCTTTTTTTTTTTAACATTTATTTATAGCCTGTGGGCAGGGGGGAGCACAGGTATCCACGTGGAGGTCAGAGGACAACCTGCGCGAGTTGGTTCTCTCCTTCTACTATGTGGGTCCTGGGGATTGAACTTGGGTCATCAGGCGCAGTGTAGCAGCGGGTGCCATCTTGCCAGCTCACTTTCTGCTTTTGCGTTTTTATTATACTTATTTTTGTTACATTTCTTTTTTTTTATGTATTTGGGGGGAGGGGTGCACATGCCATGGCACACCTGTGAGGGTCAAAGGACAATTTACAGGAGTTAGTACCTCCTTCCACTATGTAGGTTCCTGGGATTGAACTCAGGTCTTCAGGCTTGGGAGCAAGTGCTTTTACCCACTGAGTATCTTGCTGGCCCCTCTGCTAAATTCTTTACATTGTACCATAATTACATATCTTCCGCATAAGTATTTGAGTTATAATTGTTTAGGGTGAATGACATATGTTTACAATTGGCATTTCAAAGGCAAGGACTTGTGGTAAAGGCCATACAAGGAAATAGAAACCTAGGGACCAAGTCTTGTTTTCTATGCTGCAACAGCCCCAAATAATATGGGTGCACATGGGTTCTGAGATCAGTTCTTCAGTATTAAGTACATTTTAATTCTTTTCTTGACTTTATTGGTGCGGACAATATAATTCTTTGTTCTTGTTCTTGTTCTTGTCCTTGTTTGAAGGGGGTCTCATGTAGCCCAGGTGGATCTTGAACTCAATTATGTAGCCAAGGGTGACCTTGAACTCCTGCCTCCACCTCCTTGGTGCTAGGATTACAGGCATACACCACCACACCTGGTTTATGCAGTGCTGTGGATCAAACCCCAGGGCTTCATGCATGCTAGGCAAGCACTGTACCAACTGAGCTGCATCCCTGGCCCCAGTATGATTCTTTCTAAACCATAAAACCACAAGCTATTGTGGGGTTTAGTTAAGCTTCTATGTTAATATGAAACATTTCTTTTTTTAATTATTTATTTAATAACCACATACTTAGAAGAAGCATTTCATTACAACAGCATTGACATATTTAATAACAATTTCCAGAGCTAAGGTGCATCTCTTTCAAAAGTGGCTATACATTTTTAGGTTTACAGTTGAATTAATACAGCTATACAATATTGTACTCAGTATAAACCCTATAAGACATAAAATTGAATGATGTTTTAACCTTTAAAAAAGATCTCCATTTCATTTTAGAATACACTGTGAAACATTTCTTTAACACGGCTAACTATAACATCTTCCTTATAGCTGCTACTCACACATTCACGCATGGTCTCATAGACCTATGAGAAAGGTGCTGGAGATCCATAAAATTAGATTTACCTGAAAATTGCTTTATTTAACCCCAGAACTTGGACAATAAAATTTATATGACCACTGCTTCCATGCAGATAAGTGGACACCATGCTATCGACTGGTATGTTTTTACTTGTGCAACTAAGAGCTCGTCTTTCTCTTTGGAGTATGTGTAGGAGTGAGTGGAAAAGACGTGAAGCTAACTTTCTATCTTTTCCCCAGTTAATCAGATCCTTAGTGAACTCTGTGTCTGTCTGTCTGTCTGTCTGTCTTTGTGTCTGTGTGTGGGTGTCTCTCTGCCTGTGTGTCTGTGTCTGTCTGTGTGTATATGCATGTGCAGAGCATGGGAGGTCAGAGGTTGATGTCCCATGTCTTTGGGATCTATCTTTCTATGTACAAAAAAATTTAATGCAATTTTTGATGGGTATGGTGACACATGCCTTTAATCCTAGCACTCAAGAGACAGAGTCAGGCAGATTTCTGTGAGTTCAAGGACAAAGGCCAACCTGGTCTACATAGCAAGTTCCAGGTCAGCCAAGGCTACATAGTCAGAACCTGTCATACACACACAACCACAATCACACACACATACTCGCAACCACACATACACACACACAAACATTTTTCCATCGAGGGTATAGCTTGGTGGTAGGGCATTTACCTAGACGTCACAAGATCCTGAGTTCAATTCTCAGCACTGCAAAATAAATAAATTAATTAAAAATGTAATTTCCTTTTAGGATAGTGAATATTACAATTCACTACGATGGATTCTTGAAAATGATCCCACAGAATTGGACCTCAGATTTATCATTGATGAAGAACTATTTGGACAGGTTTGTGAATTTTCAAGTGGTACATAATTTTGTGACCTAAGTTTATACACTCAAGATATTTCCTTCTGC